TCATTTTTTGGGCACAATCTGCTAATTCAGCTAATTCAGACTGCACAGACAGACGCCAACAAACACATTCATTGGATTTTGTCAGATCAGTGTGTTATCCCTGTCAGCGTCTGCTGGCATCAGCCAGTGCTTGTTTTTGCTGACTGAACATGTTCATTCGGTGTTTGGCGGGATGTGCAGTGTCTAAGAAATGACATACTGTAATCTGGTGATTAGCAGTGAGAAATAACCTGTTTGGCAAACTACAGAAACAAACTTTGTTTTGGCATGATTTTGTTCAAAATGACGTCACACAAGTTCTTTCTTCGATTTCACTTGAAGTATATCATGGCCTTTATGATTTAACAACTTTTCAGACCAAGAAACACATCTGATCCAGCTGGACTGTCCAACTACCACCTAGTCACCAACTTGCTTGTTTGGTTCCCATACTGCCAGTGTAAGAACATACGCTCTTAGAAAGAAAGGTACAAAAGCTGTCACTGGGACGTTAGCCTTTCAAAAGATACATCTGTGTACCGTATTTACCCCTAAAGTTTGCATTTTAGTACCTTGAGGCTGATGATACACGGGGCAACTTTGCTGGGCAACTTTTTTTGAGCAATGTTGCTTGGGCACTTTCCCATTGAGGATGGGTAACGAAATTCTATCTGGATACTTTAGATTGGTTGTGGGCCCTGTGTCTCACCTGGTTGCCCGTTGACGGCAACATTGCTCAAAAAGTTGCCACGTGTATCATCAGCCTAAAGGTACATATTTACCTAAAGTGTATATATTAGTACCTTTTGAAAAGGTGACAGCTCAGTAACAGCTTTTGTACCTTTTTTACTGAGAGTGTAGGCTATGCATAATAGTCTAAAAACAGTATCACAAATGTAAATAGATCAGAAACACGAACATCACCATTTAAACAAATGCAAGGCAGCACAGCTGTAAGGTATGGTAGGATACTTGCAGCTGGGATCAACAGCTGTAACAGATCCGCAATGGTATTCCAACTGTCAATAGAGAGCAACTTCCAGTGATATTATTTATCATATGAAGTGCCCACAAGAATCCAATTTTAATTATTTCGGTTTTTTAAAGTAACACCTGGGGGCTCTAGTTTATTAGAGGTTAGATCCTTCACAAACCAAATTAGCGAATGGAGACTTAAATGAAAGTGCATTGAAATTAGATTTGTTTAGTCTGCTTATATATGCTTTAGAGGGATAAACTTCCCAGCCAATGAATCCCAAAGTGGAAAGGCATGCAAACTATACCAGTCTTCCTGCAATGCATGTGCCCAAAGTATTTGTTTGAGGGCAAATACAGAGACTGAAGTTCATTACTATTAAATCGATATGAATTCAGCATAGAAGCAAAGGTTGATGATGTAGATCTTTAGATCTGGCAATACAGATAATTCTAATTCTATCTGAAACTATTTAATTGCTTCACAGTTTACCAATAAACCCCTTTTATAAACTAAATTCACCCAGAAGAACATGCTAAAGTATCTTGTGTCTTCATAATCTATGAAAGCCCCATCAGTCTCTGCCAAAATTCTGTTAATGGGTGTGGAGTCTTAATGTGGTCAGCTTGCATGTATGATTTGTGTATTTGTACTTCTCCTAAGACACAAGTCGCACTCTGGTTTGGTACATCAATACATCACTGATGTCTGCGCTGGCACGTGTTTGCATAACTTTATTAACCATGTCAGTTTTTATAAAACCGTTGTGCTAGTTCCAAAAATGGGCAGTTTAAAGCCTCCCTCACATCTGTGAAAAGCATAGAGGTTCAGTATCTGCAGATCCCATTGTGCTGTGCTTCTTTACAGCTCATCCGTTGGGTGTTTTTCCAGAATACCCCAACGTTCGGCTGTCCACTGATCTGAGAGCTGTCCGGTATCCAGCAGAGCTGTGCATTATGGCCAGTGCATGTGGAGAACAGGCATGTCAGACAGCTGGACATTTCATTCTGCAAACTTCAACAACGGTTTAACTTGCACACAGCCTTCTATCACACATCACCCAGTGCCATGGAGTCTCTACAAAATAAATATTATAAAATTAGTGTTTTTCTGAGCAATACAGATATAGAGTGAATGACATCCTTTGGGTTTACCATCATGGGTGTTTCCTCCAAGAGCAGAAGTGCAGTTAGCACAGTCCTTATGTCTTTCCACCCAGAAAAACAGAGACATGTTAACTTTTCGATTCTGTTGGATGTGCATATTGTGGTGAAGAGTGACAAATTTGTTCCTTTGCACTTTATGGAATGAGCTAATGTCCCTTCATGAGGTCTGGCATCTAGACTGTCCTTTGATGACACTGTGACATGCTTGTGGTCTTGAGTCTTGTATTGCAGTCAATTGAGAGCAGATGATGAAGCTTGTAGTTGTAAACGTCTCATTGGAAGAAACTAGAATTGCAGTGTTGGAGAGTAGATAACTAAAAGCAGTGACACCACTAACTTTGGTCAATTAACTACCCAAATTGTCCAGTAGTTTAGCTGTTTTCAAAATAGTGAAAGGTGGATTTATTTTAGTGAATAGCTTCTTTTGAATGTACATGAACAAGACAAAAAACAAGTCCTGCACTGTGTTTCAGGTCTTTTATGTCTTTCAGAATGTAATCTTCTTATCCTGTGTTTTCAACCCACTCCTATAAATTAAGGATTTTTTTTTGTAAATTAGTTTGTTTTGTTTTAAGATGTGTTTAGTTCCTGATTAAATCAAGTCCCGTTCTACATTTTAGCACATTAAAATCATTTTTTTAAAAGAAGAATTTTAATGCTCATCAAGGCTGCATTTATTTGATAATATGGTAAATGTTGTGAAAACAACAGTACTGTGAAATACTATTACAATTTCAAATAACTGTTTTCTATTTTAATATATTTTCAAATGTAATTTACTCTTGTAATGGCAAAGATGAATTATCAGTAGTCATTACTCCAGCGTTCAGTGTCACATGATCCTTCAAAAATCATTCTAATATGCTGATTTGCTGTTCAAGAAACATTTCTTATTATTATCAATGTTGAAAAAAGTTGTGCTGCTTAATATTTTTGTGGAAACCGTGATACATTGTTTTCTGAATTCTTTAATGGATAAAAAGTTAAAAGAAACATTATGAATGCTTTACTGTCACTTTTGACCAATTTAAACTGTCCTTGCTGAATACGTTTTTTTCTTTAATCTTACAGAATCCAAACCTTTGAATTGTAGCATACATCAAATTATGTGCAAAATAGGAATGGCAATTAATCTTTACATTAAAGTAGAACAGTTTTAGTCATTGCATCTCAAACACTTTTTATTTTGTGAATTTTGTTCTAAAATGTAATTTCTGATCTCATCATATGGTGATATTTAATTTCTAATCTAATCATTAGGTAAAAAATGGCTGTATTGCATTTCACATATAAAATGTCACCACTGAGAGATCACCTGCAATTCATCATCATCTCATTTCATGCCAAATAATTCCCAAATCTCTGCTGTCTTGGAAGATCGGTCTTCTTCCATAGAGAGATCCAGCACTTTGTGGTTGTCCTCACCCTGACAAGCCCTATGCTGTGTGAAGAGAATCTCTCTTAAATGAGAAAGGTGAATGTTGGGGAAACCCAGAGTGAGATATTTCCCTTCACTAGGATTCCATGCAAATGGAAATTCATGGCTTGCCAGCATCTGGTTTTCCTGTTCCTTATTCTACCCTAGGGAGGGATGTTAACCAAAGATTTAATTGAACTCATTTAGTGTCTCTTCTAACAAATTCTTGTTGTTCATACAACTGTCATACAGTTATTTTGGTTTCACACTGAGGTTTTGGGATTGATTTCATTTTTGGACTACAGGCCTGTGACACTGAAATGATCCTTGGAATTTTAAGTACAGTATGAATGAATGTGTCTTTTTTAAGTTAACTCGTGAGAACATCACAAACTTAATTCAGATCAGTTCTGTTTACCACTTTGTCTAGTATACAGTTATAATATTGCAAAAACAGAGCAAAAAACATTAATTAGATTGAACAAGCATAGACATTAACTAACTGCTTGATTTTTACCGTACATTTCTGCCATATGGACATCAACTTGAGATAGTCACCACTGATAAGCTATTACTCAATATAATGTAGAAACTTTAATTTTCTGTAAAGCTGCTTTGCAACGATTTGCATCGTGAAAAGCGCTATACAAATAAACTTGAATTGAACTGAATTGAATTTGACTTATGACATAACAGCTGGCTGAGAGACTTACAGCATTTGCTTAATCCATTCACTTAGTGCTGTATCACTTTTTATGGTTAGAAATTACCCTTTCTCTGCTGTTATACTTCATGTTACCTTGACAATAATTAAACTGGTAAATTAACTTCTATTTCCAGGACCAAGAGGACAACCAGGACCTGCTGGGCCGCCAGGTCCCCCTGGACCTCCTGGACCTTTAGGAAAGATAGGGTTTTCTGGAAAACCTGGTCCTGTAGGAACTAGAGGTAAGAACTATCTCTTTACCTTGACTGGGAATATTAAAACAAATATTTTCATACATTGAGCTCCACTGCTTACTCTACAGGACCTCAAGGGTTGCAAGGACCACAAGGTGAAAGAGGCCTTCCTGGGCCACCTGGGCCCCCAGAAAAAACATTAATTAGATTGAACAAGCATAGACATTAACTAACTGCTTGATTTTTACCGTACATTTCTGCCATATGGACATCAACTTGAGATAGTCACCACTGATAAGCTATTACTCAATATAATGTAGAAACTTTAATTTTCTGTAAAGCTGCTTTGCAACGATTTGCATCGTGAAAAGCGCTATACAAATAAACTTGAATTGAACTGAATTGAATTTGACTTATGACATAACAGCTGGCTGAGAGACTTACAGCATTTGCTTAATCCATTCACTTAGTGCTGTATCACTTTTTATGGTTAGAAATTACCCTTTCTCTGCTGTTATACTTCATGTTACCTTGACATCCCTTTTTGCATTCATCCATTTAGAGTGCGTGAACTGTACTGGTTATGCTGACATCAAAGAGCGCTTGAGTGTCATTGAAGCTCAGGTAAGATAGAAATGTAGGTAACCTCCTGTATTAACCAGTCACATAAATTAAGATGGTAAGCATGTGGTTTTGCTTTTTTTTTAACAGATAATGTTACTCAGAGATGCTGAAGCTCCTCCTCTCCCTCTGTCCAGCCAATCACCTGAGAGAAGAGCTGATAATGAGGTAGACAGGACACACCCCTCACCAATAACACCCAATGCCATTGGCCGACCAGGTGAGAAGAAAATAATGTGTTGTTAAACTCTTCTTTATGATGTGTAATTTTATATATTTTATATATTTGTATATATGTTATTTAGACGTGTGTGTGTGTGTGTGTATATATATATATATATATATATATATAT